AGACTCTCGTAGTGCCTCATGCCAGAGCAAACTGTGGCCCTGAACCATTGCCTGGCCTCTGCCCATAGGCTACAGGCAGTGAAGCAGGTTGCCCAGTGGTAGGGGGGAAAAATTCCATGAGAGAGCACTACAGATCAATAAGAAAGCTAAAGTAAAAAAATATAGAAGTGATGATGCAGAGAAACTGGATCTTTTGTACATTGGTAAAATTATATAGCAACCTTGGAAAACAAGCAGTTTCTTTAAAAACTAAACAAACATCACAAGACTTGGCAATTACACTTGTGGATATTTATCCCAGAGAGATAAAAATTTATGTCTCCATAAAAATCTGTACATAAATATCAGAAAAAGAAATTAAGAAAAATATCCCATTTATAATTACATTTTACAATTACAATTACAAAAAGGAATAAAATACCTAGGAATAAATTTAACCAACAAGGTAAAAGACCTATACACTGAAAACTGTAAGACATTATGGAAAGAAATTGAAGAAGACCCAAGTAAATGATAAGATATTTCATACTCATGGATTAGAAGAATTAATATTGTTAAAATGTTCATAATACCCTAAACAATCTGCAGATTTAATGTAAACCCTATCAAAACTCTAATGGCATTTTCACAGAAATACAACAAATAATCCTGAAATACGTGTGGAACCTCAAAAGACTCCAGGTAGCCAAAGGAACCTTGAGAAAGAACAAAGCTGGAAGCATCACACTTTGTGATTTCCGGCTATATTGCAAAACTATAGAATCAAAACAATATGGTATTGGCATAAAAACAGACACTTAAATCAATGGAACAGAACAGAGAGCCCAGAAATAAACTCACACGTGTATGGACAATTAATTTACAGCAAAAGATTCAAGAATATACAATGGGGAAAGGACAATCTCTTCAATAAATAGTGTTGGGAAAACTGGATGGCTACATGCATAAGAATGAGACCACTTTCCTGTACCATACAAAAACTAGCTCACAATGAATTAAAGACTTGAATGTTAAGACCGGAAACCATAACACTTTTAGAGGAAAACATAGGTGGTAAGCTCCTTGACATCAGTCTTGAAAATCATTTTTTGGATTTGACACCAAAGGCAAAGGCAACAAAACCAAAAATACATAAGTGAAACTACATCAAACTAAAAAGCTTCTTCACAGCAAAGGAAACCATCAACAAAATGAAAAGGCAGCTTATGAATAGGAGAAAATATTTGTCAATCATATGTCTGAAAAGGGGTTCATGTGTAAAATATATAAAGAACTGATACAATTCAAATGCATAAGAAAAATATCCAACTGAAAAATGGGCATAGGATTTGGATAGGTATTTTTCCAAAGAAGACATACAGATGGCCAAGAGACACAGGCAAATGTGCCCCACATCACTAATCATCAAGGAAATGCAAATCAAAACCACAATGAAATATCACCTCACATCTGTTAGAATGACTGTTTTCAAAAAGGCAATAAATAAGTATTGAGGATGTGGGGAAAAGGAAACTCTTATGCACTGTTGGTGGAAATATAAATCAGTGTAGCCACAATGGAAAACAGTACAGAGCTTCCTCAAAAAATTAAAAACAGAACTATCATATGACCCAGCAATTCCACTTCTGGGTATTTACCCAAAAGAAACAAAAACACTAACTTGAAAAGACATCTGTATCCCCATGTTCATTGCAGCATTATTTGCAATAACCAAGATATGGAAGTAATGTAGGTGTCCATCAATAGATGAGTGGATAAAGAAAATGTGATAGATATCAATATATATACAATGGACTATATACACACACATCTCTCTATATATCTTTGTATACAATGGACTATATTTAGCCATAAAAAAGAAGGAAATCTTGCCATTTGCCACAATATGAATAGACTTTAAGGGCATTGTACTAAGTAAAATAAGTCACATGGAGAAAGACAAGTATCATCTGATCTCACTCATGTGTGCAATCTAAAACAAACAAAAAATGAACTCACAGGAGAACAAACTAGTGGTTGCCAGAGGTGGGGGAAATGGGTGAAAGTAGTCAAAAGGTACAAACTTCTAGTTATAAAATACATAAGTCCTGGGGATATAATATACAGCATAGTGAAAATAGTTAATAATACTATACATTTGAAAGTTGCTAAGAGAACAGATTTTAAAAGCTCTCATCATAAGATAAAAATTGTAACTGGGTGGAGATGGATTTTAACTAGGTTTACTGTGATCTTTCACAATATATACAAATATGAATCATTATGTTGCATACCTGAAACTAGTATGTCAATTGTATTCAACAAAAATTAAAAATAAAAGAGCAAGCTTAAAAAATGAACTTTGGCCCTGGCTAAGTGGCTCAGTTCGTTGGAGCACTATCCCATACACCAAAAGGTTGTAGGTTTGATTCCCAGTGAGGTGGGAGACAGTTGGTAGATATTTTTCTCTCTCTCCCTTCTCTCTCTAAAACCAATAAACATATCCTTGGGTGAAGATTTAAAAAAATAAAGAATAAAGAAAAAAATGAACTTTGGACATACCAAAAGATAAATTTTTGTCAAACTAATCTAATGCTTTGTTTTCATTGTGAGCATGTTTACATCCATTTGAGATTATGATTATGTGATCTGGGTTTTAAGTTAGTTATTATGTACAAAAATTTTCCCTTTCCCTGGGCCCCAGAGAATAGAGTGGAGTCTGATTCCATGCTATGAGAATAGTCCCAAAAACATTCCTACAGAAACAAGAAAGGATGTCAGGTCAGGTCAAAGGAGAGAGATGGCATATCCAAGTCCCCCAGTGGAGCATGCCATATCCCTGGACGCCGGGAACATTAATATTGGCAACATCCCATTGTGTTCTTTTCCATATTGTGATTTTCCTTTGTTTCCCCTAAATCTGGATAAAAATCTACAGTCTGGACTTAGCTGTGCTTTGAGGAACTAAGGGAAGGGACTGGGTCTCTGCTGGCCTGAGGCAGCACAGGAAGGACAATAGCCATCCAGGGAAGGCAGGTAAAAGGTAGCAATAAATCACCATCAAAATTTTGGAGAGAGCAGCTGACTGGGTCACTAGTGACAACCAACACAGATTATTAGAAGGTGTGAGCATTCTTCAGAATCCCCCAAATATAATGGGGGAGAGGAACTAGCTGACATGGTATACTTCCTAGAGACAGTCACATAACACTGCAGAACAAACTGTTGTCATCTGAGCTTTATAGGAGATGCTGACCATTGAACATGGAGATTTAGCATGCCAAGTTATACCTGTCATTCCTGCCCACATTAAAATTGGCTCCACCCTTACCATAGTCTGTATTAATGGGATTCAGCCTTCATTTGCTGGAGTTTGAGGTTTTATAAACTCTTTGTGACTTAACTTGACTATTAATAAATATTTAGCATCATTGCATCTGAGCAAGATTTGGGTTGTTCCAGGGAGTGGAGAAAGCATCTCCCCAGGGAATGAATCTGGCCCTCTACTTTAAGACTAGCTCGGCTTAAATCATTTACTTGGTAAACATTTATTAAGCATCTAGTATGTGCTGAGACCACAGTACTGAATACGATGGCAACTTGACAGTCCATGATGTCAGCCTTTAGTAAGAAAAATGACTTTTCTAAAAATCAATAATAACTAAACAATTTGAAGATTGGTAATAGCAGTCAATTAAGGACACATTGGTGTCCTCCTCATCACTTTTTACTCAAGGAAAAGGCTCATAAGGTAGTGGACAATGTAGATTGAGTAATGCCTCAGGAGACATGTAGGTTTTACAGCCTTCTATCTTTAAAGCAAATTCTCTTTGGTCTCTTTTTCCACTAGAGGTTTCATAGGTCAGTTGCGAGGATTCAATTAAGCAATGAATGTAAAGTGTTTAACACATTTTAGGGCATGTAATGAATAATGTTAACATTATACTTGCTTTGGACTCTCTTCACAGAGAAATATCTACAACCTCCAAAGCTCTGTTACCTATAATTGGAGAAGTTCTTTCTGATACAGTCAACAAATTATTAAGTTCAATAAATTAAAAAAGAATACAGAATTTTAATTTCATACATGTACTCAGCATTGTGATAGGGTCTCTGTACTGTTATAAAATTAGTATAAATTTAGTTTCTTAACTCTAGATGATGTTACTCAAACATGAGATATCTGGATAACTGAAATTCATCCCAGGAAGATTAGTAAGAGAAAGGGCTATGAAAGTTGCTCTAGAAGAAAAACCTTTTAAGTAAAAACGAAGTGTGGCTATAGGAAGGGCCTGGAAGTACTGGGAAGTAATAACTTGAATATACATAAATCATGTTATACACCTGCCAGATTTGAAAAGGTGGATGACTTTACTGGCCTCTTGATCCTGGGGCAGTCAGGGTCTTCTGCTTTATCAGATACAGTCCCTCCCACAGAGTTCCAGGACAAAATGGACTCAATAACTATACCGCATGAAATCAGAAAAAATAACCTGATCTGAATAGGATTTTATTTATTTTTGGATTTAAACTCATTTCATGAATGCACATTTATGGAGCAAATTAGAACAATTGATCACATAAACAACTAACCTCACATAATAGGTAGTTATTGAAATAAAAATCCAAGGGACAGTAATAAACACAGACACATATAGTAGTGCATGTCAGACAACTTAGATGAAAGATGGCATGTCCTAAAAAAGTTTCTGGTGAATGCAAAAATTTGCCTAAGACAAAGATGTCAATGTCAGAAGATGCATATGAAGAGTTCAAATGAAATGTAAAGCAAAAGTAGTAAAATACTATACTAAATTTTTAAAAATCTTAATTACTAAAAGGAATAATAAAAGTGAGAGAATCCCTCTTTTCACATTAGTATATTTTCGTAGACTGTATAATCCTAGTCAGAGCCACTGGAGCTATCAATTCCCACTTTACCTTTGTGTCACTAAGCTTCTAGTTCCCTCTCCATGTTTGAGGTGTTTCATATATTTGGCTTCTTCCTCCCACTACTTATTTTATGGTTCCTCCTCTTCTTCCTTTTCATGCCCTTCTCCCTCTTCTCTCTCATCTTTCACCTCTTTCTCTTCCACTTTTGCCTCTTCTGGGGCAGCCTCTTGGGGGCCAGCCAACTGAGGCTCCACTTCTGGGGGCTTTCCTGCCTCCTCTTCTAGACCCTTTTCTATGGGCTCTGCTTTTTGACTTTTACAAATCAGACACATGCAAATAGTTACAACTGCTAAAATTATGAGAAAAAGTATAAAGAATGATAAGATCATCTTGTCTAAGATCTTTTCATGTTTGACAGATTGGCCAGTTTCATCATTTCCACTGTCATCTGGATTTTCTGGCTTGCCAGGGGGACCACTGTCCACACTACCCCCATCACCTATGCTTTTGCAGTTAGGCGGGGCATAGCCAGCCTCACAGTGACAGTGCCTTAAATTGTTACAGACCCCTCTCCCACTACACATTTCTGCTGGATTGCAGTCATAGTTGAGCACGGCATAATCAGTGCAGGAGTAATCGATGCAAATTTTGTTCGGGGCACAAGAAGTGCCATAGTGCACATCCCCATTATCGGGAATATCAGTAACGTTATAGGCATCCATGGTCCAGCAGAAGTTATTTTCATGAGGAATCTGGATCAGTGTGTGAAAGGGTTGGATGTCTGGTAGTGTCTCAACATTTATACATGCAATTTTCCCACAGAGTATATTCTCATTTGTACACTGCACATATGATGGATTACTAGAATTGGGAAGGCCACAGTTTCCAAACCGGTTTCCTTTGCTGTTTATCATCTCATAACACTCATGTGGGGCAGATGTGGCATAGGACCCAAAATATAGTCTACATTGATAATTAGGGTCGCCACACACACTGTTAACACAGTAATTTTCACCACACGGAGTACCATCTTGCTTGTAGCTGTTTGGGGGACATACTGCAGAGGTACCACTACAGTACTCTGGGAGGTCACACTCTCCCACAGCAGGGCGACAGTTAAATCCCTCTGCTGCAAATTGGCAAGAACTATTACAGCAAGGTCCAAGATCACACACTGCATTATTCTTGAAGTGACATGTTTGGTCACAGCATACATTAGTGTCACAATTACTACCACAGTCACACTGCTCATCATCCTCCACCACCCCGTTTCCGCAGCTGGAAGCCCTCCTCGAGCGGCCCTTGTGCCGAGGGTTGTTAAATAGGCAGGCCCCTTTGTGTTCCTGGAGGAACCGGTAGAAGTAGTCAGAGCTGCAGTTGCTGAAGCCACTTTCTTTAGTGATGTTCTCATACATGAGGCAGAAGCGGTTCTCTCTACAAATGCAGGCCGAGTGGTCGTGCTGAATGCCCAAGTTGTGCCCAAGCTCATGGACCATGAGCGCTGCAAACAGGAGGACGTCTTCGTGATGGAAGGATTCAACAGCTGCTGCAAAGCCACTTGTACAGGCCCCATTGAGAAATGCCTGTCCCATGCCCTGTTCAGGATGCTGTCCGACAATCATGTGGGCGACGTCATGCTTCGCACGGTGGAGGAGCTTCTCTTGTCTCCAGCTGTTGAAATTCCTGAGTGCAACCTGCAGGTCCACTGGGACCTCTGTGAGGTCCCCCTCGGTCCAAATCTCCATTCCGGCCAGCACCACCTCTGTGTTTATTCCCCTGGTGAAGCTGTTGGCCAGGGCAATGATGTCCATCACTCTCTGCACTGTCTCACTGACATTACTGCCCCACATTTCGAACCGCCGGTTGTTGACCACGACAAACATCTCCACGTACTTGGCGTGTGACCACAAGTGGGACAGCGCCTGTGGACCGCCAGGCGTCCTGCTCCCTTGTTGCCGGCTGGTGGACACCACTCGGCTGTCTTTGGAAGTGACGCTGCAGGAGGCTCGAGCTTGACGCGCCGTGGTGTACAACACGTGTTCATACCGTTTTGAAGAGGCCATGGGCTCAATGCCATAGGATTGTCCCTCCTTAATCAGGATGCCCCTGAGGCCTGAACAGGTGTTGACAGAAACAAAAGAACCCGGGACTCCTTCTATGTAGCCTTCATAGTGACAGTCATGTGAGGTGAGAGGCGTTTCTTGTTCCAGGATGCCATTGTGGTAGCTGAAGACTGGGAAGTTACTGACAAAATAGCCCGTCTTCGCCTTCAGGTGAATCAGCTGTTTCTGGCCCTGCATAAACATCACGTAAGATACCTTTCCCACTGGGTCTTCCCTTCCCTCAGCTGTCAGAGCCTTGGGGGTGACTATTTCATAGGACGAGTAACGTTCTGATCCCAGGGCACAGTAGAAGCTTGGCAGGAAACCCAGTACCAACACCAGCACGATCCCCAGCCTGGCACATGAAGGTCCTGGCACCAGTACCAGCCTCACGCCCCTCATCTGGGGAGCCCGAATCTGAAACACTCTGCGAGTCTCACACATGACCACTTGGTTCTTCTGTAGAGAAGGCAAGGAGGAGGCAGAGCTCTCACAGAGGCGGGCACTGACGGAGCCCTGGTGAACCAGTGGCTGATGCAGGGCCTATGTCCATCAGCGGCAGCTCTCCTTGACACGGAGACCCTCAGTCCCACGTATGAGCTCCAGTTGTATGCTGGCTGCCTGGAAGGTGGCTACTGCCTACTTCTGAGAGCAGCCGCCTACCTCTAGCTGTGTCCCTTCTAGTCTCTCCGACCACTCTGTTATCCTTCAGATAGTGTCCTTTTTCAGTGACTCCCTTCTGCAGCATTAGCCTCAGGGATCTTTGGCTAAAGTTCTTTTAACATATGGTGATGTGATCACGAAGAAGGGCTGAAGAAGGGCTGACTGCAGACTCTAAAATGCAAGATTGTAGCCCGAGGGAAGAAACAAAACCTCCATGCCTTCCTCAACTGTGCCACAACTGTGCCACACAGAACACCCCACCCCCACCCTCCTGTGACCGTTGCTCAGTTAACTCCTAATGTTCCAGGCCAGGGGGCTTGGTGATTATTGGTGGGCACACTCCATTGGCCATTTCCCCTTTTCTAAAACTCTTGCTCTGTAACACGTGGACATCACATCTCAGGGTGTTCTTGATCCCTCAATGAGGCATTATAGTGATGTGCACATTTCGCAGGATAGACTGTTATAGAAGGCAAGGGGGTGGCTGCCCTGTGCCCCCAGAGAGACCCAAATGGGGCAAGGGACAATACTTTTATAACATCATCAAAATTCAGTCCCTCAAGCTCTGTTTATAACATTGTCCAAAAGTGTGTGTGGTAGATGCCAACAGGGCAGCCTTTTCTTTGGCTGGCAACTCCAGGCCTACACCCTTCTCTGGAAGGCCCTGAACTACTGGTATCCTAAGGTTATGCCAGTTGAAGACTAGGTCTCCTAAAAGCCTCTCCAGTATTAGAAAATGACTTACATGAGTCCAGTGCCCACTTCCGTTTGTTCATCCTTACATGCCCAGGTTAAAGACTAGATAAACTACAATAGAATTACTTATTGAATGAATAAATGACTCCCAGGTAAGAGTGCTGTGGTGTCTGATCTGTTGTATGTTGTGTGTATGTGCTTGCTTCATGCCTGCCCTGAAGGGCTGAAAATGTCCCTAGAAAAACTCACAACTATGCTGATGAATGACACATCAGGGTCTCAAAATCAGCATCCCTCTTCCTACATTTTGCTGGGCAGTCCACTCTCCTAATGTCTTCTTGCCTCGTATCTCACTGAGAGAAATAAAAGCAATCATGAGTATTTCCACATGTAGACACCGTATAGGCCCACCTGTATCTAAGTTTTACTCTGACTCTGGTGGATAAATTGCCTCATGCTCTAATCCAAGGCCAATTCTCTTATTTTTGTGTGGGGTCTTCTTCTCTTTTGTTTTCTCATGGACTTCACTTTCCAACTGTCCCTCCTGTCTTTTACATCCCGAACATTTGTTTATCCATTGGATCAAATCTTATTATATGCTGTAATCTCATTTTTATAAAACCATCCCTCTCAGCCCACGTCACTCTCCAGTCAACATCCAATTTCTCCTGTTTCATAATGACATTCTTTAAAAATGTATATGCATTCTGTTCCAGTATGCTTCCTACATTTTTCTTTCCTGAAATTTATATTTGAGTCATAGCACAATCACAAAATATGAATAAAACATAAATATATTTTTCAGTAAATTATTTAAAAGAGAACAGCTCTGCCACGCAGAAAAGGACAAATGTGTTATGATTTAATTTATACAAAGTTCTTTAAATTGTCAAGTTTGTAGAGACAGAAAGTGAAATAGAGGATACAAGGAGTTGGGAAAAAGATAGTGAATGGGACTGTTTGGTGAGGCCAGAGTTTCAGTTTGGGATGATGAAAAAATTCTGGGAATGGATGGTGGTGATGGTTGCACAACAATGTAAATACACTTAATGCCTCTGAACTGTATACTTAAAAATGGTGATGATGGGTAATTTTATGTTATATATATTTGAGAGAGAAAGCTGTGTAAGTAGTCAACGGACTTACCTTTATAGAAGTCACCCGTGTGTCATTACCAATCACAAATCCTCCTGCTTCAGAGATCATCATGGCCCTGTTGTTTAAACTACTGTTGTTTAAACATACTGTTGGCCATGTCAGTAGTTTGTAGTGTGTTCAGAAAATTATGCAACTGTCACCAAGTCAATTTAGAGCATTACCTAACCCCCAAGTAAAACTTTGGTATCTAGTAGTAGTCACAACCCATTCTCCCTTTCCCCCAGCTCATGACCACTACTATATTTTCTAGCTTGATGATTTTGTCTATTCTGGACACTTCATAGCAATGGCATCCTGCTTGCGGTAATCTGTGACTGGCTTATTTCAGTTACCATGAGGTTTCCAAGGATTAGCCATGTGGTAGATTTTATCAGTAATTATTTTCCTTTTGGCCAAATAATGTTCTTATTCTATGGATATGTCACATTTTATGTTTTGGTTTCATCAGTTGATGAATATTTTGGTTGTTTCCCAATTTGGGCTATTATGAATAATACTGCTATGGACACAGGTTTTTGCATGGACATGTTTTCATTTCTCTTGGGTAGGTACTTGGGAGTGGAATTGCTTGGTCATATGATAACTCTAGGTTTAACCTCTTGAGGAACTGCCTAGTGATTTCCTAAGAGGTTACAAAAATTTTACATTCCCGACAGCAATGAATGAGGATTTCAGTTTCTCTACATCATCACTGACATTTGCTATTGTCTATTTTTTTTAATCCTCGCCAGAGGATATGTTTTATTGATTTTAGAGAGCGGGGGAGGGGAGAGAAAGAAAGAGATGTATATGAGAAAGAGTGATTGGTTTCTTCCTATACGTGCCCCAACTGGGGATTAAATCCACAACCTAGTTATTGGATTGGCCAAAAAGTTTGTATTGTTTTTCTGTAAAACAAAAGACACATTTTTCATTTTCATCGATAATTTTATTGATCTTTATTGATATTTGGAGTATATCGGCTATCTCCTGCATGGTATAACGATTGTTTTCAATTAATGTCTTGGTTTGGTTGCTATCAACGTCAACTGGTCTACTTGACCATGGAGCATCGTCCAGCGAGAAATCTCCAGCATGAAACGGTAAACTGGTTTTGACACATTCACTCAATCACAGCACCCTCTCCATACACTGCACAAATCTTTTTTTTTTTTAACATCACAGTTGCTTTTTTACCTTTCTTGAAATAATAAAGCATAATATGCTGAAAATGTTACATATTTTCTTCCATCTTCAATATAAAAATGGCCACACAAAGATTCACCAGTTTTGATTTTTTTTAATGCATGCTGATATGACAGCTGTCACAATACAATCTAACAAAATTGTTCTGAATGAAGTTAAAAAACAACTAAGCACTGCTACAGCTGTCTTATGGGAAAAAAATTAAATGAATTTTTGGCCAACCCAATATGTGCCCTGACCAGGAATCAAACCTGCAACATTTTGGTGTGCAGGAAGATGCTCTAACCAACTGAGCCACCCAGCCAGGGCATGTCTGGGTTTTGTTTTGTTTTTTGTTTTTATAACCATTCTAGTGAATGTGAAGTGGTATCTCATCATAGTTTTAATCTGCACTTCCCTAGTAATTAACGATGTTACACACTGTTTCATATTCTTTTTTGGTCATTTATATATTCTTTCCAGAAATGTCTATTCACATCCTTTGTACTTGTAAAATTGGGTGTCTTTTTTAAAAAAGATTGTATTTCTTTATTTTTCAGGGAGAGGGGAAGGGAGGGAGGAATAGAGGGAGAGAAACATCAATGTGTGAGAGAAACAACAATCTGTTGCCTCTCACACGCCCCAACCAGGGACCTAGCCAACAACCCAAGCATGTGCCCTGACCAGGAATCCAACCAGTGGTCTTTTGGTTTGTGAGATGACACCTAACCCACTGAGCCAAACAGTCAGGGCTTGGTGTTCTTTTCTTGTTGAGTTGTAAGACTCCTTAATATTTTCTGGGTACTTAGTCCCTTTCAGATATGATTTGTAAATATTTTCTCTCATTCTGTGGGCTGTTTTTTCACTTTCTTGATGGTGGCTCTTACAGTGGAGAAGTATTGCACTTTTTTTCTTCTGATTTATTTTAGTGTGTTAAAACACACATAACAAAATTTACTCTCTTATGCATTTTAAATGTACACTCAGTGGTATTAAATAAATTCTTAATGCTGTGCTACTATCACCACTATCCATCTTTAGACACTTTATCTTGTAAAACTGAAACTCTGTACTAATTAATCTGTAAGTCCCAATTGCTGCCTTCTCCCCATTCCTAGCAGCCACCATTCTACTTTCTGTATGATTTTGACTACTGAGTACCTCATATAGTGAAATTATACAGTATTTGTATTTTCTGACTGGCTTATTTCACTTAGCATAATGTCCTCAAGGTTTATTCAAGGTAGTATATTGCAGAATTTTCTTTCTTTTTAAGGGTGAATATATTACATTGTATGTGCATACAATACTTTGCTCACCCATTTGTTTGTCAATGGACACTTACGTTGCTTTATGTTTTAGCTATTGTGAATAATGCTGCTATGAACATGGACATACAAATATCACTTTAAGACCCTACTTTAGATTTCTTTTGGGTATATACCCAGAAGTAGTATAGCTGGATTATATGGTAATTCTATTTTTAATTTTTTGAGGAACTAACATACTGTATTCCACAGCAGAATATGTTCCCACCAGTAGTACACATGGGTTTCAGTATTCTCCATATCCTCTCCAGCACTTATTATTTTCTGTTTGTTTTGTTTTCTGTGAGGTGGTATCTCATTGTAGGTTTTTTTAAATCTTTTTTAATTGTTATTCTATTACAGTTGTCCCAGTTGTTCCCCCTTTGCCCTCCTCTGCCCATTCCCCCTCACCCCCCCCCCCACTGTTGATTCTTACACTGTTGTCCATGTCCATGGGTCATTCATACATAT